TAGCCAGTTACTAACCAGCGTACAATACATGTACATACTTTACTAAATTTAATAATATATTGCAAAATATCACAGGTAAAATATTACAAGATCAAAACTGTCAATGTTAAATAAATACGGATCACAATTTGCGTCAGGATTCACAAGAAATGTTGTGAAATGCAATTGCAAAAATTGCCTAGTTATATGAATTTGCCAAAACTATCACGGTAACCGGAAAATATTGCACAACATACCTAGTATATAAACAGCGAGATGTTGGTTAAATTTTTAAGTATATCTTTCTACTTAAGTTAGACATATATTAGCAAATTATTGTCACAGGCATAATGTTTGCTTACAATATGAAAACAATCATGCTGGCGTTGCTGCTAATCAGCAGCCTATTAGTAGTGAATGGCCAAGCTGATGGCAGTAGCAATGGTGGCGGCAATGGCGGTGACGGCACCGGTGGAAACGGTGGCGATGGCGGCGATGGGACGGGCGGTAATGGCGGTGACGATGGCAGCAGTGGTAGTACCCCGAGTAGTACCCCAACTGCTCCTCCTAGTAAGGGCCCACCTAAGGGCCCTCCTACTGGTCCGCCTCATAGTGGACCGGGAAATGGTGGACAACCAGGTGGTGGTCAAACAGGCGGTGGACAACCAGGCGGTGGACAACCAGGCGGTGGACAACAAGGCGGTGGTAACCCTAACAATGGCAACGGTGGTGGCAGTCCCGGTCAGGGTAGCCCCGGTCACGGTAGCCCGGGCCAAGGCTCAGGAGGCAATGGATTTGGACCGTAAATATAAGGCTAGTTAATTAATAAACTGTCTAATTATTATAATTATTTAATTTTTCTGTTATTTTAATATGTTTTTACTTGTTAAATGAAAGCTACTTATATTGTACTAAATTTATTGTTTTGTATAAATTAATTGTTTTATCCAATTATTATTATTACAATTTAAATTTTTGTTTAACCGATATAAATAATATGTATTTTTATGATTTAAAATAAAATAAGTTATATTCAAATTGTTTTCTATTTCATAAATTGTTAACTTAACCTAATTAACTTTAACTAAATGTAGTTTTAACCAGATGTAGTTTTTAAATAAGTATTAAACAGATTATTTAAACATATTTTGCAAATAGATGTTGGTGAATTGTGTAGATTGTTTAATTAATTATATTGGGTTAATTGTATTTTTAATTTAATAACTATAGGATTTAAGCAATGAGTATATACTGTATATTAATTGATAACATATGACTATTAAAATTACCGATGTTAAATAAACAATGAAAAATTAAAATCTTTACAAATATTTTATAACAAAATACAATAAAAATGTACTCGCTATATGAAATAGCTAATTTATTTTACTAAAATAAGATTACATCACATTTATAGCATAAATATTATATTAATTTATCTCTTTATATTTTATAACACAATTATTATTTACAAAAATAATAATAAATTAATCTTGGTAGCAATTTTACAATAATTTTTTATTAATAGTAAAGTGACAAGGTTGTTTGAGTAGTGATGGTGACATTGGGACAGAATGTAACAACGGTACTTTTAATGATGATAGCTTTATTAGTTTCACTGGCAATAGTAATGGCAGGTGTAATACTAATGATTGTGATCATGGTATTGGCACCAGCCGTCATGGTTGTGATGATCTTAAATCAGATAGACTTCCTGGTGGTAATACTAAGAATCATGATCGTAATAATTATTAATTAATAATTTGTAATAGTAATTATTATTGTTTATTAGGTTTTTAGTTGGCAATGGCATAAGCATTGGTGTTATATTTTGGTTATAATTATATATATTATATTTTATTTGTAAACTATAAATTGCTAATTATTTAATTATAAAATGTTGCATTTTATTAAATAAATAAACTTTTAATTATATTAATTTATAATACAATTTATTATGTATAGATTCTATACTATTGATGGGCTTTATCACATCTAGGGTATTTTTACTGAGAGTTTTGAGAGTAATATATTTATAGCTCACTCATACTCTACTTTATACATTTTACCAATCTACATTAAAATTTACCTTTACAAATTACTATCAATTTACTAAACAATAAATAAAAACGCAAACAATGCTAGCTGAATTTATTAAACATTAATCATTAGTGTTATTATTTGATTTGATTGTTAATATTTATCATTTGATTTCGTTATAACGATTTGCGGTGACGTGAATGCGATGAGTGCCGGACAGCACAGCTTCGAGAGACCGCACGTATTGTTTCGTATCGGCGCTAAACTCGTCCGAAGCCAACACATCGGCAGACAAGCGGTCGAACTCCGCGTCGTATTCGCGATTGGCGTCCAGTGTCTTAGCCATAGCCGCGGCTATAGTGATGCCCTCCCGGAGCGAGAAATAGGCGACTAAATTGATTCGCATTCTCTCCAACACTCCGTTCTGTTCGTTGAGCTCCTTCTCGAAAGAGTAGACGTCATTCACGTAAATCATACACAGATTGCAGAGATCCCGGAGCCGTGCGATACGCGGGTCACACCACTCCCTCTCCGGCACTTGTATTTCGTCCGAGTATTCAATCATTTGCATTATAAAATCCATGGCCACACTTCCCATCCGAGTCTGGCAAATTAATTGAAAACTTAAATTAGCATGATATGTTTGTTAAATAAAATCTATTTAGTTTATAAAAATTTTGTACTTTAAAAATGAGCACTATGATGCTTAAAGTTCTTATGCGCAAGATTTAAATAAATTATTGTCAATAATTTTTACATATAAACTATTGATTTTTAATTTAAACATGATCCTGCGATATGATCAATTAACTTTGATCAATCATTTGAGTCAACTGACCTTAATAATATCATCCAATTCTACCCTCTCCTGCCTATCCATCATACGATTCTCCATCTCCTGTCCGTCCAAATACTTACCCCAAGTAGTGATGAAACGGCGGCGCTGTGTGTCCGGCATCGCCTGCATCATAGACTCGGCGATGGCGTAAACACACAACACGTATGGCTTCCAGCGGGACATATCAATAAATATAGCACCTTTGCCACCTTGATCAGTAATGTTAAATTGCTTTTTGAGTCTATCGCGACACTGCCTGTACTGATCGATCAAGGGCAAACCGACCGATTCATCGCGATTAATCTGGCCGTTAGTCTGATCGTTATGGTCGTCCCAAATCAATATATACCCAAACAATTGCACCAAACGCTGAAACCTGTCCATGGATTTACAATCCGGGTAGTATAGGGCCGAGTATTTGACCATGCTGTCGGCGCACCGTTTTTCAAAATTGGGCCTGGTAAATCGCGAATACTCGAACCACCACTCGACCACCTCGCTCATTTTGGCATTATTGAACGAGTGCGGACACTCGCGCCACTTTTGCGGTATAGTGTGTTCCGGTATTGGGTAGTTTCGTACCCGGTTGGTGTTTGACACTAGGTAAAAGAATATCATTAATTTTTTATAAATGGTATATTAATTCTGAAAAATTTATGAATAATACAGATACAGAATTTTAAAATCGAAAATTTAATAATTTACAATTATAAATTGATAGTAATTGTTTATTTTAAATACTTACTTATTTTTAAATACTATTTTAACTTTTTAATAAATCTAGATATTAAATATATAATGTTATACTTGTAAATGTTGTGCCATTGTTGTGGGTTATATTGGGTAAAATATCTTCATAAAAAGCAAATTAATATAATAGAATTCATATGTAATTATATTTAAAAGTATGATTAATTAAAAAGAACACTTGCATTCTATGTAATCAATGTAAATTAATTATTTTGAAACAAATATCGGTAGCATAATTACTAGTAAAATTTATTATAACAATGAATTAGTAGTAATTTGAGTCATTAAATTATTATTTAATTAACAAATGATTCAGAGAGAAAGACCCTGACATTTAAAGTAATCTACATACACATATTTCTAAATTAAGCATTTACAGAAAAATTATATTTGTCATTGTATCTAGGGTGACCAGAACGTCCTTTTTTATGGGTTTTGTCCTTTTTTCAACCTTTCAGGACAGCGTCCTTTCGAGTAGTCGCAAAGGACTATACTTTGTCCTTTTTTAGTTTTATTAATTTTGATATAAAAAGGTTAATATTTTTTAAAATATTGAAAATGTCATTAAAATTATGCCCTAAAGAATGTTATTTGTTATGATTATTAAAGATTTGTAGTAGTTTACAATTAAATAATTATTTAAAATGTGCGACAAAACACCGGCAAAAACCCGAATGGAATTGTATTTAATTTAAAGAGTTCATTAAGAATAGTAAGATAGTACTACGATCGGGAAAATCTTCACAAAAATATTATAATACAAATTTCATTGAATAATTTTTTTGCGTCCTTTTTTTGTCCTTTTCTTGGGGACTATTTTTTGTCAGCTGTCCTTTTTTACGGGCATTTTTAGTGGTCACCCTAATTGTATCATTGACAATCCAATATTTTGGATATTCTATACGTGTAACAGAACTTCCCTTAGAGGAACCCTCATCATAGGGAACACTTTTGTGGTGCAACTGGTAGTTCCTTATGGAGAAATTGTACTGTATTACTATAATTAATATAATACCGTTTTAATAACAATTTATTGTTACAAATAAAATTAAAACATATTTAATAAACGTTTCATAATATATTTATTTTATATAATTTTTTTGAAATTAAAATGTTGAAATTCAAAATTACAAAATTCTATTTACAATTATTTACATTAAAAATGAACAATATATACAACCCGGCGGTGAACAGGGACGGTGGCAGTCCCGGTGTGAGCAGCCTAGTATAATTCACTATGTGTAGTATACACATTCTACTATTCTACATTAAAAATTACCTATACTAATTACTATCAATTTACTAAATAATAAATAAAAACGCAAACAATGCTCATTGTATTTATTAAACACTCATAATTAATGCAATTATTTGATATAATTGTTAATAATTATTATTTGATTTCGTTATAACGATTTGCGATAACGTGAATGCGATGAGTGCCGCAAAGCACGGCCTCCAGAGACCGCACGTATTGTTTAGTGTCGGCGCAAAACTCGTCCGAAGTCAACACATCGGCGCACAAGCGGTCAAACTCCGCATCGTATTCGCGATTGACGTCCAGTGTCTTAGCCATAGCCGCGGCTATAGTGATGCCCTCCCGGAGCGAGTGATAGGCGACTAAATTGATTCGCATTCTCTCCAACACTCCGTTCTGTTCGTTGAGCTCCTTCTCGAAAGAGTAGACGTCATTCACGTAAATCATACACAGATTGCAAAGATCCCGGAGCCGTGCGATACGCGGGTCACACCACTCGCTGTCCGGCACTTGTATTTCGTCCGAGTATTCAATGATTTGCATTATAAAATCCATGGCCGCACTGCCCATACGGGTCTGGCAATATTAGTTGCAAATTTTAATTAGCATGATATTTTTGTAAGATAACATTTATCTAGATTATAATTACCAATTATCTGTACATTATATTAACATACGTAAAATTTAAATAATGTAATTGACCATCATTTTAGCAGATAATCTATTTATAACTGTAGTAAAATGATGCTGCATATTATAGTATAACACTACAATATGTAAGCTATTAAAGTAATTAAAACTAGGTAACCAATCAATTAAACTAACCTGAATAATGTCATCCAATTCCACGCTTTCCTGCCTATCCATCATACGATTCTCACTCTCCTGTCCGTCCAAATACTTACCCCAACTGGTGATGAAACGCCGGCGCTGTGTGGCCGGCATCGACTGCATCATAGACTCGGCCATTGCATAAACACACAACACGTACGGCTTCCAGCGGGACATGTCCATAAATTTTGCACCCTTACCATCTTGATCAGTAATTTTGAATTGCATTTTAAGCCTATCGCAACACTGCCTGTACTGATCGATCAAGGGCAAGCCAACCGATTCGCAGCGATTGATCTGGCCATTAAGCTGGTCGTTATGGTCGTCCCAAATTAATAGATACCCAAACACTTGCACTATGCGCTGAAATCGGTCCATGGATTTACAATCCGGGTAGAATAGGGCGGCGAATTTGGCCATGCTATCGCCGCACCGTTTTTCAAAATTGGGCCTGGTGAATTGCGAATACTCAAACCACCACTCGACCACCTCGCTCATTTTGGCATCATTGAACAAGTAAGGGCACTCGCGCCACTTTTGCGGGATTGTATGTTCTAGTATTGGGTACTTTCTGAACCGATTGGTGTTGGTTTTATTTGTCTCGTTTGACACTATGTAGAATATAATTAATTTTATAATTAATTGTTATTAATTGTCAAAATTTTTTATTGATATGTAATTCAGTTACAATATTTATAGATTTTATAATTAACAATTAAAAATACTTACTTATTTAAAAATACTATTATAACTTTTATTATAAATCTAGGTATTAAATATAAATAGATATACTGTTAAATATTTGGGTGTTGTTGTGGATTTTATAGGGTAAATTATTGTCATGAAATGCAAATTAGTATAAATAAAATTCATGTATAATTAAGGATTATTAATAAAGTATGATTAATTTAAAAGAAAAACTTGCATTCCATGTAAATTAATGTTTATAAAACAAATATTGTTAGCATAATTACTAATAAAATTTATTATCCGGATATAATAACGAATTAATAGTAATTTGAGTCATAAAATTATTATTTAATTAACAAATGTTTTAGAGAGAAGGACCCTGACAGTCAAAATAATTTACATAAACATATTTTTAAATTAAACATTTACAGTAAAATTGTATTTGTCATTGTATAATTGTCAATCAAAATAGTTTATACATTTAATAGATAATCCTTATTTATATATTAAATAGTTATAAATTAAAATATATTTTATAAATGTTTTATAATATAATTTTATTATATAATTTTTTTGAAGTTAAAATGTTAAATCAAAGTCTATTTACAATTATTTACATTAAAAATGAACAATATATACAATGCTTAATAATATCAATATATAAATAATATCAAACTTAATGTTAAATAATATCATGTCAATCATTTATACACCTATAGTTCCTCATACTTATCAAAACCCTTACATTGAAACTTTTGCCTAAATGAGTCGCGCATAACCAGCGCCAAAATCAGGGTAAAAACAGCGATACACATAGCAATGTTCATAAACATGGTCAAAATAAACACATGAGGACTATGCTCGATATATTTGCCTAACAAATATGGCATAAACAATGTCAATACACGGGAACTACACGTCAATATTGTGCCAATACGGTCAGTCATCTCGACATACTGGCCAATGTAGGCAAACGTAGACGCCGTTACGCACGAGTAGCCAAAACTCATGGTCAAACTGCCAATAAGCAGCAAGGTGAGCGTGTTTTGACCCAGCATTAACACCACGAACGACACCATCAACACAAATGTATGGTAACCGATAACGAGCTGCGGCTGTAGTTCGATGGACAGTAGAAAACTAATGCCCCGACCGATAGTGTATATGAGTGCCATCATTGAGACCATACCCGCCGACTGGTCGGCCGTTAACTCTAGGGGTATGTACTGGTAATACGTGGCCCCAAAGCGCAGGTATATTGTTTCGGATACTGTGAAAAAGGCCAGGAATATGGATACCAGTGCTATCAGCATAACCTGTTGGCACTGGTAGTCGCCCGACTGTTTGGTTCGGTATTTAGAGCTGCTTTTGCTGTCAATACATTTTTGGTTGTTTTTAAATCGCTTAATGAAAAATATTAGTCCCATCATTAGTGGCCCTAAAAGTTGTAAATTTTTAATTATATTTATTATTTTAATTAATATTATATAACTATTAATATTTGCTTTTTAAAAATTATGATATAGTGAATATTAAAGATGTGTGCTATTTAAATATTTTATATATCAAATTAAATGAAATATTTAAATTATCAAATAAATCAAATAAAACAATATTTAAAAATTATTTAAGTAATAGTTTAATTAAATCCTGAGACTAAACAACAATCAAAAATCATACCATACTTGCTATCTATGAAGATCTTTTTTTTCTCTGAAAACACAAAATAAACATCATGTTAATTTTTTTCGAGAGTGTATTGTATAAATAATATACTGGCAAAGTAAACATTTTATGTTGTTGAAAAGTACTGTATATAATATTATAAAGTTTATACCAGTGTTTAAGAATCATTGTAATACTTCTTAATTTAATTAAAATTAAAACTTTAAGAATGGATAAAAAGTAATAGTTATAATTAACTGTTAAAATAAGTAATAAGTATAATAATTACCAATAAAATGACATACGCCAAATATAAAGAAAGGTCTTTGCAGTTTAAAACGTCTCATCGATAGTAAATCACTGGTTATAGCAGTGGTCGGGTTTATTGTGGTCATAACGGACTGAAGTCTAGTATCGTTGTTACTATTTGTTGTGTTTTTCAGTATTTCAATATAATTTAAATTATAACCTAAATCTTGAATGCCGGTCAAATATGGTCTCTCAATAATTGGACCCAGTATTGTACCTAGGCCATACATAAAACCAGATAGGTGCAATATAGCACCGGATTGAGCCGGTTTTGACCACATTTCGAGCACCCAAACCCTGTTCCCACTATTCCAGGCCCCGGAGCCCAAACCGTATAGACTGATACACAGGTATAGGTGCCATAATTGCTGCGAATACGGTATCATAACAGTCGCCATGGCTTTGATTAATAGTAAGATGATCAGAATTATTTGTCTATCTATGTATTTGTATAGAAATCCAACTAAAGAATAAATAAATTATGTTATATTTTTAAGCATGATAATTTTTGAAAGCATGACATACAAAGTGATCCCAACATGAATGACATGTGAAAGAATGTGGTCATTAGTGATATGTTATCCATTGTTGTGTTTAAAATGATCTTCAGGTCAACAAATGTTGGCCCAAAGCACGAGTTACTCATACCCTAATCATATTGGTGTTAAAATTAAACATGTTAGGTAAAACTTTAAACTATATTTTGTACAATGAAATATACCGATGATATTCTGACCATACAGAATATAATAGCGTAGATATATTTATCTATGTTTGAATATCCCTCGTAATCATTTTGTGCCATTTTATTTTGTATTGTTTTTAAACTAGCAAGAGCATTTAAAATATTAGTCAATTATATAACCAAGGTATAAATCTTATTATTTATTATAATATAGAAAATCTTTTTTAAAAACATTACAAAAACTATAAAATTGTAGAAATTTTTCAAAATATTCTATTATTTTTATGTAATTCAGAATCCTTATATTAAAGCATGTGCAATCTATTATCACATTCATTATTATAATGTTTATTGATAATTCAGTTCATTGGGCTAATTAATTATTATTGTCTGATCTGATAATAAATTATATTTACTCATTATATACACAAACAAAGCTGCATTTTATTGTAAAATAGCATTTCCTAATACATTACTAGTTAAAATTGCACTAATAATAATTTACAAAATATTTAATGAATGGAAAATTGCTATCTTTACATTTACATAGATTGATAGTTGGAGTCTTATGATTATATTAAGCAAGGTCCTACAGCACTTAACGAGGTTTACTATGTGTTTATTTGATACATTTAATCACATGTAATGTCGCGCCTCTAATAGTGTCGCCAATTAATAAACAAATGGTAAAACTTTTTTTTATAAATTTATAATAGCATAGAGTGTTAATTAATAAACTAATTAAAACAGGAAATGTATGTTTTTCTGGCATACTTATCATGCTGATTATGTTTATTAAGGGTTATATCAACGTTTATTATTATTTTTACATTAATTTTCCGACCAATGTGGATTATATAATGGAAAATTACATACAATTACATATATACTTTATAATTTACAATTAATATAAATTAATCCGAAAATATTTTTAAGCAATTTTTTAAAATTATTTTTTTGTATACTTAAAACTTTAATTTATAAGTGTTTTAAAATAAGAAAGATTATTTTAGTAAATTTAGCATAATTAAACATTTTATAGTTATTATAATTAAATGTTTTAAAGCAATATTTAAAAACATTTTAATTATAATCAAATCGCTAAATATAAAATATAATTAAAAGTTAATAGATATGATTTAATTAAAAATGATAAAATATACTTGAACTAAATTTAATTATTAGTTTAAATTAAACTTAATGTATATTTAAAATATTTACCAATTGCCGGAAGTGTGTTTTGATGTTTAATAATTTTTATTACTATACCAATAATAGTAATTGTACAAGATAATTTAATTTCTCATGCAATTTATACTATTAATACAAAACTTTTTAACTAATTTACAAAATAATTTATTGTATTTCATAATAATTATAATTACATTTATTTTTAAAAATTGTATATAAAATCATAAAAATTGAATAAAATGTTATTTTAATCGACGGTTGCTCTCAAAACAGTTAATTCACATCTAATTCATAAAAATATTTATACAAATAGTTAAATAAATATTTAACTCATATCTGTAGTAATCACTGTATTGAGTAATCAATTAAAACTTTTACTCTTAAATGTTTTACAAATGTTAGCGCAGACTATAATACTGTACAGTATATAACAAGTATTTAATTTAAACAAATAATATAAACAAAATTTAACTTGTCAAAAATGTACACTCTATTGTTAATAATAAAAATAATGTGTAATACTATGTAAAGTTATACATTTAATGTAATAGATTTATCCAAAAATTATTTCATTTTGTATTTTTACAATTAAAAACCAAAATTTATTAATACACTGATCATATGTATGTTTTGTGAAATGCCTTACATTATGGCATATTTTGGAGAGACTGCAGATATGTATAGTTTTGAGTGTGCCTTAAATAGGGAGACAATTGGGTCACTTTGGGAACATTTACTAAATCTGAGAATAGGTGTACAATATGTGTGTATATTCTATGTAAATATAATTTGAAATCCTGTCCGATCCGGTACAGGAACAATAATAGAAATATAAATTCTTGGTAATATTTAATCATACTTCTACATAGACAAAATAATAAAATTTAAAATTATTAATAAATAGTAAATCCTTTTCTACGCCTACAGGTTTAGTGGCATCCATTCGATGCATAATACTTTATATCTAGAGTCTCTATTTTTCGGGAACTCCCGAATAAATTTAGTGTATAAAAACATCGGGAATTACATACCGTTTAGCATATGGGCTAAAATAGGACCAATATATATAGTTTTTATATTCCCGATTTTTCCCGATTTTCGCATATAGAAAGAAAATCCCGAAAAGTCCCGAATACTCCCGATTATGAGAAAAATAGTCCCGAAAACGCACTTTTGCCACGAAAAACCCCTATAATCATCGTTTTTTCTTCAAATATTTTAATGAAATGTTAAATAAATACCAAAAACG